TTTTCAGATGAGCTGTGCGGCATTCTGCAAACACTATAATACATCAGAAAACTGCGGAATTTCAGACAGAAATTTAAAAGCACATGAATTTTGAATTAAACAGAACATTTTTATTTTTGAACATAAATGCATTCTGTAAAAAGATGAGATAAATTCAATATAAATCAAACACGAAAATACTTTAAAACAGTAATCATGATGCAATATTAGACTTTTTAACACTGGGACTGGAACCAAAACTGATTACGATTTGCACTCCACTTCCACCACAGGTGTCATAGAGATCAGGGATGAAATTGATATGCATCATCGTTCTACTAAAGCAAGTCCAGGAAGACATCCGGTTTTGAGATGTAGACCTGAAATGTTAAATTTGGATGAGAATGAGAATTCTGGGGCGAATACTATCCAGGGAAACGGTCATTGACATCCAGAAAATGGTCAAAATGTGGAATTCTGTCATTCAGTTACAAGGGGAGATAATTGTGGTCTGTAGCCGTGCCACATGAAATGCGTGGTAACCTGATATCTCGGAAACCGCTAACCGGAAGTGGTCGAAATTTTGTCTAATTTGAGATATTTTTAAAGTAATTATAATCTGCAAGTTTATTGAAATCGGTTGATAATTGTGGTCTGTAGCCGTGCCAAATGAAATGTGTGGTAACCTGATCTCAGAAACCGCTAACCGGAAGTGGTCGAAATTTTGCCTACTCTGAGATATTATTAATGTTATCATATTCTGTAAGTTTCATGGAAATCGGTTGATAATTGTTATCTGTAGCCGTGCCACATGAAATGTGTGGTAACCTGATATCTCCGAAACCGCTAACCGGAAGTGGTCGAAATTTTGCCTACTCTGAGATATTATTAATGTTATCATATTCTGCAAGTTTCAAGGAAATCGGTTATTGTGGTCTGTAGCCGTGCCACATGAAATGTGTGGTAACCTGATATCACGGAAACCGCTTACCAGAAGTGGCCCAAATTTTGACTACTCTGAGATATTATTAATGCTATCATATTCTGTAAGTTTCATTGAAATCGGTTGATAATTGTGGTCTGTAGCCGTGCCACATGAAATGTGTGGTAAACTGATATCTCGGAAACCGCTAACCGGAAGTGGTCGAAATTTTGTCTAATCTGAGATATTTTTAAAGTAATTATAATCTGCAAGTTTATTGAAATCGGTTGATAATTGTGGTCTGTAGCCGTGCCACATGAAATGTGTGGTAACCTGATATCTCCGAAACCGCTAATCGGAAGTGGTCGAAATTTTGCCTACTCTGAGATATTATTAATGTAATTATAATCTGTAAGTTTCATTGAAATCGGTTCATAATTGTGGTCTGTAGCCGTGCCACATGAAATGTGTGGTAACCCCCATATATCTCGTAAACCGCCAACCGGAAGTGGCCGAAAGTTTTGCTACTCAGAGATGTTATCAATGTTATCATAATCTGTAAGTTTCATTAAAATCGGGTAACAATTGTGGTCTGTAGTCGTAAGGCTATTTTGAAATTCTTACTTGCCACATGTGGCAAATAGCCACTGCCGTAATAAATATTATTTGTATTCTATAGAAGTGACCCGTGCATTGCTTTGAAGGCAAAGTCTTATCTAGTAGATTCAAGATGGCGGAACCGACATCGGCAATTTGTCTATAGATAACGTTCACCAGTTAATTGTCATTGTAAAAGGTGACAAATCAGGGCCCGACTAATCACCGGAATTCACCGGAATTCATTTACAATCACCGGAATTAACATATAATCACCGGAATTCACTTCGAAAATTCCCGATTCCTCCAACAAAACTAATTTATTTTAAATGTATAATACATTATAATGTAACGAATTACTATTTTGATATCTCCACAGGCCAAATAAAGGCCCTGTGTGTGTATTTATTTGAAAGACTACCGGAATTCATTTCAAATATATGCATCATGGTTATGATAACGTAGGGCGCGTCGTATTACCCAATAGGCCGAACTCCAAAATAACACTAGTAAAAAAAAATTTGCATCGAGTTACCCAATAACTCCAAAATAACAACCAATAACTTCAAAAATATTGACTGTGGAAACACAAAATAACAATTTAGTATGAGTTTAAGAAGCGTGGCTGGTTTTTGTCCAAATCGGAGGTTCACGGGAGATAACTCGTGTATGTGATTTTTGTTGACAAGAAACTTATGTATTCCTTTGTTGCAATTCGTTGTAATGTATTGTAATTAGAGATTGATTAATAGTTTATCAAAACAGTAATTATATGCATGAAACATATTATGGTATATATAGTGCAATAAACAATTTAATATTATAGCTATATTTATTTATTTATACTTGTGTCGATTGTAACTTTCGGTCATCGACATCGTAACTTGTTTTGAAATAAATAAATTCTCATTCTCATGTTATCATAGTTTATTATGGTTGTTGGATGTGTGATTGTATGTGATTTGTCACTTTATACAATGACAATATTTACATTTAATAGGATTTGTAAATCCGATATTTTGACCATTAAAGGGAGATTACTCGACATGTGTGGAGAAAATCTCGTAACTCGTCAAATTTGAGATGTTTTAAAACAATTATGTGTAGAACCTATTTGTAATTCATCAAAAAGCCTCTTTTATCAGCATTTCAGTCCTAATTTTAACTTACAATATTATTTGACCAAATCCATACACCGGAATTCACTTTGGAGATATCAGAATTCGCCCGTACAATCTTCCTATTTACTTATATTTTTCCATTAATATTAATAGTGAATTACTTTAAAACACATAAAATCACCGGAATTCACATCGAAAACACATAAACACCGGAATTCACATTGAAAACATATAAACACCAGAATTCACTTTCAACATATCTAAATTCGCACTGGAGACCTTCGTATTTACTAATATTTTACATTAATAACATATTACTTTAAATCACCGGGATTCACTTTGAAAACATATAAACATCGGAATTCACTTCCAAAATATCGGAAATCGCACTTAAGACGTTCGTATTCACTAATATTTTACATTAATAATAAATTACTTTTAAACACCGAAATCACCGGAATTCACATTGAAAACATATAAACACCGGAATTCACTTTCAAATATCGGAATTCGCACTTCAGACCTTCGTACTCGATCACAAATATTTTACAATAATGATAAATTACTTTAAAACACCGGAATTCACTTACAAAATATCTGAATTCGCACTTTAGACCTTCGTATTTACTAATATTTTACATTAATAAAAAATTACTTTAAAACACCGGAATTCACTTTGAGAAAATCGGAATTCGCCCCAAGACAATTGTATTTACCTATATTTTGCATTAATATTAATACTAGAATGTATCTGCTGTAAAACGATATTTCCAGATGGTCAACTCGGGGAAACACAATAAAGACACAGCAGTAATCCATGTAAAATGTCAAACCGAACATTTCTAGAATGTAGATGAGCTAAGTTTATTCGAAAATTAACTTAGTAATAGTCAGCCAATCAAATAATTATAAAGTCTCATCAATAATGGTTTGGATGTTTTCATAAATAATCCGTTGTAGCATGAAGCAGTCCAGATTAAATGAAGTGTAATTTTAATAATATGCCAATAGTAGGCATATAGAATGTTCACCAGTTAATTGTCATTGTAAAAGGTGACAAATCACATACAATCACACCTCCAAAAAACATAACAAACTATGATAACATGAGAATGAGAATTTATTTATTTCTAAACAAGTTACGATGTCGATGACCGAAAGTGACAATCGGCGCAATTTGCAATTATAAATAAATAAATAAATAAATATAGCTATAATATTAAATTTTTATTTTAATAAACTATTATCAATCTTTTATTACAATACATTACAACGAATTGCAACGAAAGTATACATTAGTTTCTTGTCAACAAAAATCACATACACGAGTTATCTCCCGTGAACCTCCGATTTGGGCACTTAAATCAGCGAGGCTTCTTAAATTCAACTAAATTGTTATATTGTGTTTCCACAGTCAACATTTTTGGGGTTATTGGCTGTTATTTTGGAGTTATTGGGTAATTCGACGCAAATTGTTATTATGTGTTATTTTGGCGTTATCATAATCATGATGCATATATATATTTGAAATGAATTCCGGTAGTCTTTCAAATAAATTCACCTACAGCGCCTTTATCTGGCCTGTGGAGAGATCAAAATGTATTATACATTTAAAATAAGTGAGTTTTGTGGGAGGAATCGGGGATTTTAGAAGTGAATTCCGGTGATTGTAAATGAATTCCAGTGATTGTAAATGAATTCCAGTGATTGTAAATGAATTTCGGTGAATTCCGGTGAATTCCGGTGATTAGTCTACCCGGACAAATCACATACACTCACACATCCAACAACCATAATAAACTATGATAACATGAGAATGAAAATTTATTTATTTCAAAACAAGTTACGATGTCGATGACCGAAAGTTACAATCGACACAATTTGCAATAAATAAATATAGCTATAATATTAAATTGTTTATTGCACTATAATCTACCATAATATGTTTCATGCATATAATTACTGTTTTAATGAACTATTAATCAATATCTAATTACAATACATTACAAAGAATTGCAACGAAAGTAGGGGCGCCGGAACCCGGGTACCAGCTAGGGCCCTTATTCACGAAAACTTAAACTAAGTTACAATCGAAATTTTAAGAAATACTGCAATTCGATTGGCTGACCAATATGCAAATTGGATATATGCAAATTGATTTTACTGGTCAGCCAATCTAATTGCAGTATTTCTTAAAATTTCGATTGTATCTTAGTTTAAGTTTTCGTGAATAAGGGCCCAGGGTATACAAATGGTACCCTAACTTTTCTGTATTTCAAATAAATACACTTACAGCGCCCTCATCTGGCCTGTGGAGATATCAAAATAGTTATTCGTTATATAATATTATAGATCGGATTTAATACAGTTCTATGGTTATATTATATTTAGTGGGAGGAATCGGGGATTTTCGACGTGAATTCCGGTGAATTCCGGTGATTGTAAATGGATTCCGGTGAATTCCAGTGATTAGTCTACCAGGTTTAGGAAGTGTTATTGAACTAACACATTTGTAACTGTAAAAGCAAAGAAGATGTATTGAAGTCAGACGATATGTGTGAAAACATCAGTCTTATTTGTGCAGTGTGTCGAATTGGTATTTATTCGGTAAATATATTATATTTATTCTAAATTTGGTTGATTACATAGAATATAGGCCATAATAATATATAGGGGTGATCATCCCATGGGTGTGCAAAGTTCAATGTTTTTGTTTCACTCGAGTTTTTTCTGGGTTTTTTTCTTTAATTTTAAAATTTAAAAATATTGCATGTAACTCCCCTTTATTTTTACAGAGAATTCGGATAAGAAATTTGGATTTATTTAATAGTTTATACATTTGATAAGATCAGACATGGGAGAGCTGGGGCCCTGGCTTTGGGTATGCTTTTCAATGTAACATGATGTACCGTCTACATGTACCGTATTTTTCAAATTGTTCTTTACTATATTGATCAAAAAAATAATCATGCCAATCAGGGCGCAAACATCTACTAGGACTATTGTCAGATTCGGTATACAACAGAGTCGTTAGGTATGGTAGAATCTTTAAAATTCAAATTTTAAATTGTCACTATCAAAATGCTCAACACGTAACACAGATAGTTTTCACGCAATAAAACTTATCTACTGAGGCGAGGGTCACTTCACCACGTGCCACCAACCATCTCTGTCAGACTCACCTGTCCAGCTTGAAAACAGTAACTGAATATTATAGAGTTAAAGGTAAATCCAATCAAAGTTCTGATTTTGCTCGCGTGTATTAATTCATAATCAACACCGTAACATGGTTTCCTTGCATTTGTAGTCGATTTGATCAGAAACAATGTATTTATTTGAATTTGAAATGGTGTACCGATACCTAATATACGTAAACGGCGTTTCTCACACATGCGCTCTTGGCTCAAAACATCATAAACTCCATGGTTCTCAACACCGTAACGCTCTTACGATGTTGAGGTTTGGTTCACCAACGCTTAAATTAAATCTTATCTTATCAACATAATCATGTAGAATAACATGGAGTTCCTCTAATATTTCACCGGAGTGGATATTCTCCACTCGGATGGCGAACATCCTAGAACGATAAAGATAGTTATTCGCCATTCGTTTTATACAATAAATTTAAAATTCGAGTAGATTGCTTGTGCTTTAAAGCGGAAATTGCAAATTTTCAAGTTATATTTTTAAAATGTATTAAAATAAAGCCTTAAAATAGATGGTATCCATAAACAGTCCTACCTTGTTAAAGAATAATCCTATTAATCCTATAATTCGCTATTGCCAGAGCTGAGAAATTGGCAAAAATATCATTTTTAACTTCAAATTCCAACGTTGGAAAATGGCTGCCCCATGTTGTCAATAGCAAAACAGGGGAGGTAATTGTGTTGTTATTTCCTGTGTCATAGATTTTTAAGGGTGGGAAATAATGCCCATGATCGTATAATAGTGATTTGATAACCTATTGAGCAAAAGACATAGAAATAATTATGTTTTGACTTTCTTAGAAAATTTGAAAACCTCGTTTTAATGGAAAATACAGAATCCGAATCCCTTTCTAATGGTCATTTGTTAATTGATGGGTGATAGTGTAAACAGACGTCCTCGTTTATAGCGAAGCGAAGGATAGAGAAACCGACATTTTGTATAGATAGGAGTAGCATAAATGTGAGAAGTTTCATATTCTATGAAAGTGTGTATCTTACTAAACCAGGAACATTGTAAAACACATTTATTTGTACTGTGTTGATCACAAATAAAATACCGTAAACTACAAACCTAATCCAATTTCATTCCTGTAGAGCAAAAAAGGCAGGTTCTATTGAAATGGGCCTGCCTGTCTATCTGATCCGCCCACCCGGACCATATATTTCATTGTCAACCTCAAATTTTATCTGCGACCTGTATATTTGATCTCTTACCATATATTTGATTTACTACCAATCAGGGCCGTAACTAGCTCAGAGCAACGGTGGTGGCGGTGGGTGGGAGGGGGAAGTGTTCTCAGGGGTGCTGTAAAAATGACGGACAATGTATATATAGGGGGGCTTCGAGAACATTTTTCAAAATTGAACTGCTGGAAACGCTTTTTCCTACACTCTGGACAGCCTCATCAATCGTCTTTCTCCCTTTCAAACCGAAGAAATCAGTCAATTTTCATGCAAGACCCCTCATTTTAAGAAAATTTGAGCAGAAAACCTCAAAATAGTCCTCTTTTGAAGATCTGAAAAAGGTAAAAAATCCGTAAACACTGAGAATCCGATATCAACTATACCGATGATCTTTTTCACATGGGGCAAATTTTTTTTATGGTTGACCAATTTTAGTTACGGGCCTGCTACCAATATATTTCATTTCCAACTGTGTGTTTTATTTGACATCCGTATATTTCAATTTAATACCCATATATTTCATTTCCCACCCGTATATATGTGTTTTATTTGCCACCCATATATTTTATTTACGACCAATATATTTCATATTTCATTTGCCACCCATATATATGTGTTTTATTTGCCACCCATATATTTTATTTACGACCAATATATTTCATTTGCCACCTGTGTATTTTATTTTCTACCAATAAATTTTCATTTCCAACCGTGTATATTTCAATATTCACATAGTTCACTTTCAACTGTGCATTTTATTTGCCACCCTGTATATTTCATTTACGACCAATATATTTCATTTGCCACCCATATATGTTTTATTTGCCACCTGTATATTTCATTTTCTACCCATATATTATATTTCATTTCCAAAAGTGTGTTTTATTTGACACCCGTATATTTCATTTACGACCCATATATACTGAGCGCCATAGAAAACGCATCACTTTTTTTTCCCAAATATTTTATTACTAGGTGGTTTTGTATGTATAATATTATGCAATACTATGAAATATTGTTTCACACAATGCTCCCAAACGCAAAAAATATCGGCCTGTGTGCAAAAAAAAAAATTGCACGAGATGCACATGAAAAACCCAATATTCACGTGCAGCATTGTGTGTGAGCCCTTTAAAAGCATGTTTTCAACTTAATGTGCAGTACATGAATTGTGAAACGTCAATCCGTCGTAATTTGTTGTTGGACGTGTGTAGGAATCGAGCTAGAGATGTCGAGACTTACTGAAAATTAACGGAATGAAGCCATGGGAATGTCCAGGGCTGGCATGTCTACACATGCTATTGCCAGACACTTCAATTGTCATCAGTCCACTATTGTAAGGTTGGTGGAACGTGTTCGAGTTACTGGATCAACACGTGACCGTCAACGTCCTGGTCCACAAAGTGTTACAACCCAGGCTCAAGACCGCTACACCCGGGTCACTCATCTGCGTGACAGATTCCGCCCAGCGACTCGAACAGGTCAGTCGTCGGAAGACAAGGACCAGTAAGTGCCAACACCGTAAGACGTCGTCTAAGAGAAGTTGGACTCCGTGCACGAAGACCTTCAGTGATGAAAGTCGCTTTCATCTTTATCACGCTGATGGCCGTCAACGTGTGTGGAGACGTCTTGAGGAACGTCTTGTTGCGTCTTCGAAACGAATCGATGGGGTGGGGGAAGTGTAATGGTGTGGGGAGGCTTCACATTTCATCACCGGACCGCCCTACACATTTGCAGGGGTCGCGTTAATGCTGTAGCCTACCGTGATGATGTCTTGCAACCAATTGTTGTTCCGATGTTTCAAGAGCACCCACAACTCGAGCACTTCTAACAGGATAATGCACGTCCGCATACCGCCCGTTTTAGTATGGACTACCTGGCTGCTAACAACATCAATGTCTTGGACTGGCCAGCCATGTCTCCGGACATGGCACCCATAGAACATGTCTGGGATGAGATTGGACGCCGTCTGTATCGGAGACCACAGATGCACACCATTGCTGCTTTAGAAGCTGCTCTTGTCCAAGAATGGAACAATTTGCCCCAGGCCTTCTTTCCAACATTGGTAAATTCCATGCGACATCGCTGCACAGCGTGCGTAAGAGCCCGTGGAGGACACACGCGCTACTGACATCTGTGTCGTACTTTTGGTTTTGACCCCTCTGACTTTGTACCGTTGATTACAGATTAAACATCCATAAGTGTACAAATGTGTTGTTATTGATGTGTTCCCATTTGAATATTGTTCACAATAAGAAGCAAAATAAATAAGATATGTTTACAGGATCATTTTGTTATACGAAAAACTAAGTGATGCGTTTTTCATGGCGCTCAGTATATTTCATTTGCCACCCATACATGTGTATATGTTTTATTTGCCACCTATATATTTCATTTTCTACCCATATATTATATTTCATTTCCAACCGTGTGTTTTATTTGATACCCGTATATTTCATTTACTACCCATATATTTCATTTCCAACCGTGTGTTTTATTTGACACCCGTATATTTCATTTACTACCCATATATTTCATTTCCAACCATGTGTTTTATTTACCACCTGTATATTCCATTTACTTCCCATACATTTTATTTTCAATCGCATGGTTTTTATGCCGACCATATAATTAATTAGTGTTAAATCAGTATTTTTATCAAGATTTTAATGTGCCTCCGGTAATATCGATCAAATATTCAACGAGTTTTGATTGTGTCTGGAATAAAATGTTCAATAAATTACGTGTTCTTGAAAGGTTAATTTATCAAAATGGCTATAATATATATTTTTGTGTAAAGTAGCAAACCACCAATTTAAAAATATCATTCTGAGCATTATTATTTCATATAAGGGCATATGTTATCTCAACACCGTCACATAATTTCAACACTGTCACGGGAATTCAACACCGTCACAGAGTGTAAATTCTCTCCTTGCTACTTTTTTTTAAAGTTAAGGAGCCATTTTATAAGCAAACAGAAATATTAATTGATCAGTTTGTGTTACTGAATCAAGAAATCAAATACAAAATCATTTTTTTATTGCGCTACACTTTAATACAATTATAAAATATGGAGCGATTTGAGGTAAGTGGTATAAACTAGAAATTACAGCAAAGAAATTATGACGATATAAAAAGAAATATTATTTTTGAAATGTTGAGATTTTGTAAAACACGTTCCACTAATAGCTTAATTTTTATACGCCCACATTG